CCCCCCCCCCCCCCCCCCCGAACACTGCCATCCAGCGGCTTCGTGACCAGGAAGCCATCGAGGTCCCTGAGGATGCTGTCCATGGTCTCAGGGATGCGAGCTGCTGAGCTGCTGCAGGACTGGACTGAGGGATCCCTCTCTCTTCGGACTCGTTGGGCCTCGCCGAGCTGGCGCAGGGTCTGGAGATTCTGAGGGTCCAAAGCCAACTCGACCACCTGGGGCCGCTGCGAAAGCCTTAGAAGCAAGGCCTTCCAGGTGCTCTCCACGGGCTGAAATGTGAGGAACTCGTTCGGCAACTGCTTCTGCAGGTCTGTGGCGAAGACGCCCTCCAAGTGCCCAAACCGCTCTTGGCAGGAGCCGAGCTCCGACAACAACTCCTCCACCTTCTCGAACCGCGCCTGAGTCGGGCAAGCGGTGTGAGGGGACAGTGTGAGTCGCAGAGTGTGCTTGGCACAGTGCTATTTTTCTTCAACTGACTCCCCTCAGCCTGCCAGAGCTTCACGCGGTCCGCGTGCACGGCCGCAAACCGGGAGGAACTGGAGCCCACCACGGCCAGGCCGTCCTGCAGCTGCTCCAAGAGACCCGCCAGGCTCTCCACCCGCAGGCCGCCAGAGTCCACGATCGGCAGCTCCAAGCGGCCTCGGTCCGCCCAGCCCAAAACCGGCCCGTGACTGCCGCAGAGCTTCACCACCAGGAGCACTGTTGGCAGCAAGATATGTGATGATATCCACGCACTGCAGCACCAGGCTGCAAACACTTCTGCACTTGAACTGGCATGGCATACATAAACTATAGGGATCGCCTGACGCAAGGTGCGACAGAATCACTAACACCGCAAAGTGAAGGAGCACTGCTCCACAGGCGGCGCGGGATTCGATGATCATCATTGCTAGTTGCCAGTTTCCTCGCTTACTCAATTTCGCCCAGGCTCCACTCCGAGTTCTTCAGGCTGAGCTTCCGTTTCTGCTTGTTTTTCGCATTTTGCGGTCGCCATGATTCAAGCGACAAAGGTACGATCTCGCGGCTGCAAAATGCAGGGACTATTCGATGTGCACACTGGTGATGGTCGCTGCTGGCTTCAACTCTCGCTTGTCACCATCTCGATGTTTGCACAAGACCGGGTGTCACTCGGCTCAGCGACAAAATCAATTCGAGCTTTCCGTGTGCTACCATTGTTCTTCGTTTGGCCTTGCCGGAGAGGGGCATGACTCAATACGCTTCGGTTCTTGGCTCGCCCTTTCCCGACCCTGGCAGGAATGCTAGCGCTTCCCTCAAACTGAACCCCACTCCACTCCAATCTTCTGAGGCTCCAGGCTCCAGGAGCGTGTCAGGTTTTCGAGCGCCAGTTCCACATAGTGCTCCTCAGAACGGCTTTTTAATAAGGCCCTCGCGACTCCCTAAGCGAGCCTTCATTCCACGCCGCGGCGTCGCGCAGAAGCGGAGTCGAAGCGCAGCGCGCAAAAAGTCGACAAACTTTTTTTCTGTTATTCTGAATACTATCACTACTACAATTACTGCAAATTATTATTCCTACTATTGCTAGTAGTATTATTACTAGTACTATTACACTTGCTGTTCCTACTACTATATTACTCATATTATTCTGGCTATACTACTACTGATTTCTCGCATTTGTCGCGTTTTTGCCGCGTTTTTCACGTGGTTGCGCGTGTTTCGCGTTTTTCGCGGTGTTCCCAAGTTCGCGTTTCTCCGCGTTTTCGCATTTGTCACTTTTTGGCAAATAGAAACATATGAAATACTAATACTAGTATTACTCGCCATTCTTATTGCGTGAGGGTTTGGTATCGATGATATGTTGTAGATGCTCACCTCACCGAGCGTGTTGTTGATATAGTTGTGGTATTGCCAATGCAGAACTCACACGCGCAATTGTACACAATGTAGAGCGGCGCACCCTTCCTTTTCTCACTCGCCTTGGCTGACGTTGAGTCTTTGCAG